TCCAGCACCAGTTTTTATATGGCCTGAGAGCCAAAGATGGTTTTTATTTTATTTATTTATTTTTTTACAGGGGTCTGGGTTTATTGAGGGCATAGGGGTCTACAGGGGAGACCCAGGTGCTGGTGGGGAAGGCCTCCCATCAGCCTGGAGGGGCAGCGGCCCAGCGGGCAGCCAGGGATGGGGTCTCCAAAACCTGGGTTCACTTGAAAGTGTGACTCTCACCTCCACCACGCCCAAAGCCTTTGGGTCCAAACATGGCAGCATAGAAGGGGTGGTTGCAATAGGGCTTGCCTTCATGCTCAGCATGACCCCCTGAGGTCAGCATCTTTCCACACTTCAGGCAAGGCCGATGCCAAACCTTCCCGAGGCAGGTCACCCGCTCAGCAAAGTACACCTCCTTGTCACACTTGGGGTGCTTGGGCATGGAGGCACGGGGTCTGGGTGGGCTGACTGGGCGGGAACCGGCAGGTGTGTGGGACTCAAAGATGGTTTTTACATTTTTGAATAGTTGAAAAAAATGAAAAGAATAAGGTTCAATGACAGACGGAAATTATATGAAATTCAATGTTCATACATGAAATTTTACTGGAATACAACCACGCCCATTTGTTTACAAATTGCCTACAGCTGCGTTCACACTACAACAGTCGAGTTGTTAAAGCAGAGATCATTGGTGTGCAAGGCCTAAAATATTTATTATCTTGCCCTTTACAGAAATTTGCTGACCCCTAATGTATAGTGTGAGATATCACCACCAGATTTTAACTATTTTTAAATGCTTACAAAACCATGAGATATGACTTCATACCTACTATGATGGTTATAATAAAAAAGACAAGCAGTAACAAATGCTGGTAAGCTTGTGGAGAGATTAGAATAGTTATACATTGTTGGTGGGAGCGTAAAATGGTAGAGCTGTTGTGGATAAGCCTGGCAGTACCTCAAAAGGTTTGATGAAATAAAATTCCTATTTTAAGGCAGGACAAGAAAATTTAAATAAAATTCTGTCTGTTTGGGCCTCCTCCCTCTCTCCCTAACGTGCAGCGTGCACCTGCATTTACACATTAACCAGAGCTCCTCAAACATGGGAACGTCTGCTCGAAGGTAAGGACAGTTTTACCTTCAAAGGTAAGGAAGATCATTTTCCCCCTTCTTCTGACACTAGCAATGTAATTTCTCAGAAGAATAGTGTTCTTTTCCAGCTCTGTTGGGGGGTCATGTTGACTTGCTGCTTCCTTCATATGTGCTCACCTGGACTATGTGTCTTTGGTGAACTTTCTGTTAAAATATCAGTATGTCGTTTTGATCCTTTGTCTCAAAAATGTGTGCTACTCTACCTTTGACTTCTTGCAGGTGGGACGGTTCTCAGAACTTTCCGAGTCTGTGTCCCAGGTTATAATCCTCAGTTAGTCTCAGATAAAATTCTTTTTTTTCCTTCTTATTTTGATTGTTAATTGAACTTTCGTTGACAGGTTAAACATAGAGTTGCCATGTAACGCAGCAATTCCACTCCAAGTTGTCTTACTCAAGAGTACTCAAGTATTCACACAAAAACTTGTACATGAACAATCAGAGCAGCCTTATGCATAAGAGTCCCCATGTGGAAACAACCCAAATGTCCCTCAACTGGTGGAAGGATGGTATAGCCACGTGATGAAATAGTATTCAGCCATAAAAAGGAATGAAGCACAGACACCTGCTGCAACATGGATGAGCCCTGGCAACATTATGCTGAGTTAAATGAGCGACTGGCTGCATGGGCTGGAGGACGCCACTTATGTGAAATGTGCAGGGTGGTGAAATCCACAGAGACAGACAGCAGATTGGTAGTTGCCAGAGGCTGGAGGAAGGAGGGAATGAGGAGTGCTAACGGGTACTTGGTTCCTTTCGTGGAGTAATGAAGTGTACTGGAATGGAAGAACGGCGATGGCTGATCAACCTCGTGAAAATACTAAATACACTGAATTGTACAGGTGAATTTTTTTCAATTTAGAAAATTGTTTAACCTCTTTTACCACAAATGGCCACTGATTCAGTTGAACTGCTTTGGTCACCCTAAGCCTAGACATTACCTAGACTTATTTATGTGCTGTTGTCTTCTTGGTCACACATACTCTCAACCCATGCATCTCTGGGGGTCTTAAGTGCTGCCCTTGAAAATGTGGGTTTTTTATTTGGCAAAGGCAGCCTTGCACCTCACCCTGTCCTCTTCTCCAGGGAAGCCACTTCTCCAATAGCTGTCCAAGAAGGGATGTCACAATGGCCTTACTGCCCCTCCCTGAATTTGACATATCCCAGCTCCATTCTCTCTTGGTCCACAATGCCATGCACCCTGGCTTCCCTCCTCCCTTCTTGGCCACTCCGTCTTCATCTGGCTGCCTCCATTCCCTCTGTTTTTCCCGTGGTCGCTTGCATCTTGGGTCTCCACCCTGAGTGCTCCTCTAACAAAATACGAGGTCTACAAGGCTCTTCCTACCTGGTCCTGCCTGCTCCCCTCCCCTCCTCCTCCCTGATGCTCCCCCCACTTCCCCTCCACATCAGCACATACCGCTCCAAGTGGGGCAGTCTTCCCTTCCCACCCCTTGGAGGAATTAACTCCTTTCCTTATGGCTCTCTGCTATTGTTTTGGTTCTTTTTCCTATTCAAGTTCAAGTTGATGTTTTGTGACTGTTTGATGAATGCCCATCTTGCTCTCTAACTAGACAGTTCCATGAGGCTGGACACACTGCCGTGCTCCCAGTTAGACTTCAAGGGGACCAACGTGTTGATGTCTCAGATGCTCATCAGGTGTTTGTTGACTGAATGAGTGAACTGCAAGATGTTTTCCAAAACATGAATGATTGCTGGTGGAAGGTTAGACTCCAGATGTGATTTCTTATTTTCATGTTTTTCTGGACATTGCAAGTCTTGGCCTTCAGTGAGCAAGAATTACCTTAGAATCGGGAAAAAACAAAGACATGCACCCACAGCATGGCTGCCCACTGTTCACCTGTGCTGGTTTACCTCCATCTAACTCTTAGCTCAACAAACATTTACTGAGTCCCTGCTGCAGTATTACAACAGCCAGGGAGGCCAAGAAGACAGAACAAGGTGTTTACAGTCCAGCAGGGAAGATGAACAAGCCCTGGATGGTGGGGATGCCTTGGAGGGACATAAAGCAGGGAAAGAGGACGGAGTGTCTGTGTTGGGCAGGGGCGGTTGCAATTTTAAACACAGTAGTCAGAGAAGGCCTCACTGAGAAGGTGATGTGCAACTGATGAACTGCAGGAGGTGAGGAAATGAGCTTGATGTGTTGGGGGAAGAGGATCCCCAGAGAGAACGGGCATTGCAGGGGCCCTGACATGAGAGCGTGCCTGGTGTGTCTCAGGAAGAGCAGGGAGGCCACGGAAACTTGAACAGAGTGACCAAGGGGGAGATGGGAGGAGATGGGACGTGGAGGCGACAGTTGCTATCAATTAAAACATTACGGCCAGAAGACACCAGAAACTAACACGACACTGGAAATCAACTATACTTTAATTAAAAACAAAGCAAAACATTATGGCCAGGCCAAAAAAATTAAGACGACAACAGAGGTAACCTGTGTTAGGGCTCACAGTATTTGCTGCTTCTTCCACCAGGCTTGTGTTAAGTTTTTTTGTTGTTGCCGGAACAAATTACCACAAACCTCGCAGCTTAAAACAACACAGACTTATCATCTCACAGCTTCCATTCACTCAGCAGCCTTCCCCCGACTCTGCCTCCAGAAAAGCTTGTCACAGTTCCAAGGGCAGCCGCCCAGAGCTCCCAGGCGGCAGCTCTCATCCAGGCAGCAACACACGGCCTTGGAAGGGGTGCTCCCAGGTCCTCCCAGACCTCTCTGTGGCCTCTGACTCCCCATTCTCTGAGACCCACCCTCTCCTCCATAGTAACACCCTCTCACGATTCAAGTCCCAAAGAAGGAAATTACTCATGTCCCGAGCTGTGGGATGCCGATTCCAGAGAAATTGCCCTCCATTCATGCTTACAGCTGCCCTGTGACCCTGACCAAGTCACTTCTGGTTTTAAAAAGGTCCAAAGAAACCCCAAACTCACCTCCTTTTATCTCCACCTTTTTATTCCTCATCAACTTATTTTAACAATGCATGATTTGTAATAGAAGAAAAATCATACACAGTTAACAGTCCTCTTGGAAAACCATGTTTATTTCTCCATGATCAACTTCCAACCTACATCCGTATGTGTGCACATCTTTGCGTGGCTGCAGCAACAGCAAACCTTCCATTTCATGCTTCTGGTTGCCAGCCATATCACAAGCATTTTCAACACAGCCACAAAACCTTCATCGTTATGGTCTGGCAATGGCCGCGTGGAACAGGTCAGAAGTGTCCCAAATGAACGATGAGGGGGGACAACGTAAACACACAACTCAGTGTTTTTTGTCTCAACAACTAGAGCGATGCGTCACACATAGCAGCAGCCCCTCCCTCTTGGCAGGAGCCTGCTTCAGCCTCCTCTTAAGAGGGACAACACCACTGTCCACTCACAAGCAACTTCCTCGTCCAGCTGCCTCTCCTGAAATGAGTCCTCAGCATCTTGCAGGACCACAGCACAGAAACACATTCAAACAGCAACCCACTGTGTGTGGCTGCTGTGGGATGGAGCACTGTGTGGGGCCTCCCAAAGGTTGCCTTTGCTGATACAGAGAAGACGGGAAGGGCTCCCGCCAAAAGTGCCCCTCAGTGGATCAAGTAAGAGTTTGCTTCCCTCCAGCAAGGCAGGAGCTTTCTGTTGAAGGGTCCCTCACCCGGTCACACAGGTCCTCCCCCGTTTAAGGACTCTGACGCAGGGGTAGGTGGGCCTCTGGGGAAGCACCTTCCCGACTCCTGCAGGTTTTATTCCAGTGTATGCACGACTGGGTTTGGTATAGGCTGGGTCATCCCTGAAGCCTCTGCCACGTCTCTTACCATCCTGTATTCTCTCCGAGAATTCCCTCATGTACCAACTTAACAGTATGGCTAAGGACTGTTTCATATCCACCGATGCACTGGATAGCTCAAAGCAGTCTTTTCCACTGACAGGGAGGAGCCAGCCCTGAAGACGCTGCTCCTTCACACAGGTTTTTGACAGCAAGTTGGAAGACAAGTGTGGCCCAAGTTCATGAAGTGTCCACAGGCTGTTCTCCCGGGTGTGATCTTTGGTGCCGGATGAGGGAAGAGCTCCTTCTGAATGCTTTCCCACACTGAGGACAATGGCTGGGACCCTCCCTGCTGTGGAGTCTCTGATGCACTGCCAGGTGAGAGTTCTGCTTGAAGGACTTTCCACATTCTGGACACTGGTATGGGGTCTCCTTAGTGTGAATTCTCTGGTGCTTGGTCAGACAGGAGCTGTCCCTGAAAGCTTTGCCACACTGACTACACTCATAGGGCTTCTCGCCAGTATGAGTCCTCTGGTGACGGATGAGGCCGGCAATGTTCCTGAAAAGCTTCTGACACTGGTCACAGCCATAGGGCTTCTCGCCAGTATGGATCCTCTGGTGCCTGATGAGGTAAGCACTCTCAATGAAAGTTTTCCCACATTCATTACACTCATAGGGTTTCTCCCCAGAATGGATTTTTTGATGCACGATGAGGTGAGAGTTCCGGTTGAAGGATTTCCCGCATTCCACACATTCGAAGGGCTTCTCTCCAGTGTGCGTCCTCTCATGCTGAGTGAGGTAAGAGCCGTCTCGGAAGGCCTTTCCGCACCTGCTGCATTCGTAGGGCTTCTCCCCAGTGTGGATCCTGAGATGCACGGTGAGGTGAGAGATGTCGGTGAAAGGTTTCCCACACTCATTACATCTATACGGTTTCTCCCCTGTATGAGTCCTTTGATGCAGAATCAGGGATGAATTTCGGTTGAAGGTTTTTCCACATTCTAAGCATTCGTAAGGTTTCTCCCCAGTGTGAATTCTCTGGTGTTGCGTCAGAGCTGACCCATCGCTGAAGGCTTTCCCACATTTACTGCATTTATAGGGCTTCTCTCCTGTATGGATTCTTTGATGTACAATCAGGTTGTAGTTCTTGGAGAAGGATTTTCCACACTCACTACAGGTATAAGGTTTCTCTCCAGTGTGAGTTCGGTGATGCAAAACAAGAGAAGAGTTCCGTTTGAAGCACTTGCCACATTCAGCACATTTATACAGCTTCTCTCCAGGGCCGCTCCTCCTGTTTTCAGTAAGAGATGAACTCAGGGCAAAGATGTCCCCAAAGTCCTTACCCTCATACAGTTTCTTACCTCTTTTCATTATTTTTTGCTCACCAAGAGAGGCAAAATGGTTAAAAGGCTTCACACTTTCAACATGTTTATAGGGTTTCTCTCTAGTTTGAGTTCTTCCAAACTGAAAAACTTCCATGGGATGGTTGAAGGCTTTCCCACAAGTGTCACTGTTACCTGTTCTCTTAGCTATACAGCTTTTCTGACAACTGTGTAAAGCTGGGTCACAATTTAGACTTTTAACATCTGAGCTGTGTACATGGAAACCATTTGCTGCAGAAACTCTCTGATGTTGTGGAAGGTCTGGGCTCACACTCAAATGCTCCCCAAACCCAGGATATTCACGAACTGCTTCCTGAGCTCCTGGTTCCTCCTGAGTTACAGCTGATTGCCTCAAATGACCCTCTTGGTTCTCACAGTCCCAACTTTCACCTAGAATGGAGAAATGAGGACCCTCCCTCGTAAATCCTTCCACCTCCATGTCACAGGATAGTTCTTCTGCAGGAATGTTCTGAGCTGTCATTTTCAATCTCGTGTCTCAGGCTGGAAAGTAAAGAATGAAAAAGACAGACTTAAATACACAAAGCTGTACCTGGAAGAGGAATGAAAAATGGTGATAGGCCAGGCGTGTGGGTGTGTATCTTTACCAGTTTTCTTTTTCAAATTCACATCTATAGAAGGTGGGAGATAAAGTGAAAGTCAAGGGATGGAGCCAAGAACACGTTCAAGAAGGGCCACATGGCATTTTCATCCTCCCAGAGAACAGGCAGGAGGAACGGTGTTGGGGGGAAATGTCACCAGAAGGATTAGCCCCTCATGTGGGAGACCAGGGCCAGGTGTCACTGCTTACACAAGAACACCATCTCAGCTGCTGTGTGCTTATCCTCACCACCCACTGCCCCTACCAACAATCAGCACACACTCCAGGGCCTGCACTTCACAGTGGGCTTATGCAGCACTGAGTGAGCAGTTCTCACCCCACCTTTATAGCAGAGCTCTGCCTTCATGGATGGGACACAGCACAGGTCTGGTGACCTGAAAGTTCTGAATTCCTAGATCTGTCAATGACCTCCCTGCGGGGTTATTGTGAGAATTACATCATGTCTGAGGCTGGCTCTGAGCTGGAAAGGACAGTTCTCTAAGCGGCTGCCAATGTCCTCAACATTGTTCACCTTTCTCTAACCACCCTCCACCCCTCTGACTTGATGATATCAAGACAACTGGCTCTCAATGTTTTTTTCTCCACGTAAAATGAAATTAGACCCTTACCTCAGGGAAGTTTTTTTTTTTAATTTCAAATGGATAAAGACCTTAACATAAATTCAAGGCTTAAATTATGAAGGGTACCTTCATGAATGGGGGAGTCCTTGATCAAAATGGCTTAGTAAGCAAAAGCCATACAAAGATCAACAACTTTGATACCAACATAAAAAAATTCCAAACAACAAGACACAATAAGAGTCAAAACACAAGTGGCAGCTGGAGAGATGATACTATAAAGTATAAAAGAGACAAAGGAATAGTGCCCAAGATCTATTAAAAAATTCTCACAGAAAGCACACACACACACACACACAAAAGGTAAAGAATAAAAGAGGCATTTCATGGAGAAGAAATAAAAATGTCCTGAAAACATAAATATTTGCTCATTCCCATCATCATGTAGGCAGTTACAAACCTGCTACTTGAAGAACACAAAATACGCACATTTCATGTGAGTAAAAGTAAAACAAGGTGTGGGCAGGTCTTGCAGGAAGACAGCTGGGGGGTGCGTACAGAGGTCAGTCTGCTCAGCTAGAGGCGTAGTGGAGACATGAAACGGGCACCTTCCACCACCTCCCAGTTCCACTTGGCGGCATCTCAGACTCAGAAAGCACGAGTCCAGGGAATACCTGGAGAGCAAGCTATGCCTAAGGGGGTGGTCATTCTTAAAGGCCAGCGGGAAGCAGACAGACCACCAATGGGGATGAACAGCACCACTAGGTAACAAAAACAGAAACCTGATGATAATGGAAGGGTACTTTCAAAATGATGAGGGAAAAACGGTCAGTCACATTATTGTTCAAGAATGAAGGTAAGAAAAAGACAGATTCAGAAAAGCAGAAGCAAAGTTTATCTCCCAGGACACTGGCCAGAAGAATAGAAAGACTGTTCTTCAGGAAAAAAACCCAGAAGGAAGGAACGGAGAGACTGTGTATGTAAATCAAACCCAGTGATGACCACATAAAATGCAGCAATAACAATGCCTCGGGGCGTAACAACAGGATGGACTAAAATATCGAGAGGCAGTGAGGCGGAAAAAGGGGACAAAATTAAGTGCCCTGGCATTCTCACACGTTATTCATGAATGTCAGACGTGGTCAAGTCAGGAAAAAAAGAATAAATGTTGTGTAAAACTTCCAAACCATTTGACAACATTGTAAAATGACTATAACTCAATAAAAAAAAAGTTCGAAAAAAAACAAACAAACTTCCAAGCCCACAGAGCAGTGGTTCTCAACCAGAGATGGTCCTACTCCCCGGGGACACCTGGCAATGTCTGGGGACATTTTCAGTTGTCATGACAGAGGGGCAGAGGCTACTGGGATCTAGGGATGCCGCTAAACACTCTTTAAAACCCTGGACAGCCCCTCACAGCATAGAATGACCCAGCCCAAATGTCGGCAGTGCTGAAGTGGAAAAACCCTGTTGCAGGAGAAAAGATCAATAAAGGGAAAAAAAAACACCATCAGATCAATCCAAAAGAAGCTGATAAGGGGGGAAAGCACAGAAAGGACAGGTTACAATAGAAAGTATGAAATAGGACACCACCAGTAACAATAAACGTAAGTGGCCTTAAAGGGCAAGATCAAGACATTCTGTCAGATGGCATTAAAAATGTGTTTGTAACAGACACACCAAAGCAGAAGGGCACAGAAGACAAAAGCAAATGCTTGGAACAGACAAATGCTAACCAAACAAAGACTGCACGGTTCTTGGCTAACCATACTTTGCTATTCAAGTTGATGGAGCGGCAATATAACAATGGCAAAGATGTCTACATTAACAGCTTGCCTCCAATACAGAGCAAAGCCAGCAAATCCAACCATATGGGCGGTGGGTGGGGGGCTCAATGAACCTCTCTCAGAAATGGAAATTCAGAAAACTGAACAGAGATAAGCATGAGAGACTATAACTAACCAGCCTGGTCCCACAGCTGGATGAAGAGCCACCACCAACCAGAACCGAAGGCTTTCCAAGCACAAGTGGAAAATTTGCTACCTGATCGTAAATGGTCCAAAGAACAAGTTCAACAAAGGCCAGGCCACAATCTGTTGACAATAAATGTGGTCAAATTAAAAACCAGTAACAGAAAGAAAACAAAATGCAAAAAAAAAAAACCTTGAAAAAATAAAAACCTGTTTCTTATTAATTCACAGATCAAAGAGATATCTTGATGAAAGTTAGAAAACATCTACTTGGAAAACACAAAGAACTGAACGATGGAAATGGTACACCTCAAAACGTGTGGCAAAAGAGGATGCAGCTAATGCAGCTCCTAGGTAGAAAATGTTGGTCTTTGGTACTTACGTTTTACAGAGAAGACTGAAGACTAGTAGCTCACTGTTCCACTTAAGACTTAAGGGAAAGAGCCGCAGAGTAAACCAACAGGAGGTGGGAGGGAGGTGACAGTAAGAGCAGAAATTACAAAAACTGAAAACAAGGAAACAGCCAAGAAGATCAAGAAAAACAAAAGCCTATTACTTAAAAAGACCAATGAAATAGATATAGCATTGACAAGAGTAATCATAAAAAAAGAACAAGAAGGCACACATAAGTGATCTTCATCATGAAAACGAGACTTTAGAAATAGAAGAAAGTTACCAAAATGGCAACGCTGGATTTATCCTAGGAAAGCAAGGACTATGAAACATTAGAACACCTACTGATACAATTCCCCACATTTTCAGGTAAAAAGAGAAGACAGCCCCCTACACCCCATCTCAATAAATTCACAAAGTAATTCGAAGAAATCTCACCCAGACTCATGATCAATATGCTCCCGGATTAAAGCAGTAGACCCCTTCACCTTATGTGGAAATTCTTAACACATAGGAACATGGGGAATTAAGGTAAACGTCACATCTGAGAAAACATCAGAACTGCTCACTCTGAAGCCCAGACCAAGACCCAGATGCCTGCTAGGTCCACAGCACTCAACAGCGATGCAGAGGGGCCAGCTGGTCAGGAGCTCACGTCCCCAGCTGTCCCTCCTGGACACTCCTACTTGCAGGCCTCTTGAGGCTGCCCTGTCGCCATGCCGCACATTGCCCATCCTGAGCCTTCTGAGTAGACTGGGCCTGGGTGGCCTGTAGTTGTCCTGTGAACACAAGATGGAGAGCACCTCCCCACAGGTCTATAGCGGGCAGGATGCATGTGTGCACTTAAAGGAAGCAAGTCAGACATACACAGGGTGATACCACTTAGAGAAATGTTTAGACACACAAAATATTTTGGAAGTAAAAATATTAAAATGCCCTGGCAACACACCTAACAAAGCTGTGATCGTGACTGTCTTGGGGGTGTGGGAGGGAGCAGGAGTAAAGGAATTATCCATTTCATCTATAACAGAAATAAGAAATTGAAACAAGACTTTATTGAAATAACACTTACACTTTCTTAAAGACTTTTTAAGAACGTAAAAAGACAAACTACCGAATGGGAGAAAATATTTACAAAGCAAATATCTGATAAAGGACTTGTAGAAGATATAAAAAGAACTCTTACCCAGTAATAACAAGACAATCCAAATTTTAAAAATACGCAAAAGATCTCAAAAGACATTTCTCCAAAGAAGACATACAGATGGCCAATAAGCACATGAAAAAATGATCAACATCATTAGCCATGAGGGAAACTAAACAAAAACACAGTGAGATACCACTTCACACCCACTAGTGTGGCCAATATCAAAGAAAGGACAGTAACACATGATGTGAGTACGTGGAGAAACTGGAACCCTCACACACCACTGGGGGAATGTAAAACGGTGTAGGGAATTTAAAACTGTTTCGCTTTGCAAAACAGTCTGACGGTTTCTCAAAAAGTAAACACAGTTATACGACCTAGGAATTCCATTCCTAGGTAAAAACTCAGTAAAAATGTAAACATGATTACACATAAACTTCTACACAAATTATGAGGGCACACCAGCACTATTCATGATAAACAAAAATGGAAACTACCTAAATAAATGTCTATCAACCGACGAATGGATAAACAAAATGTGGACATACACACAATGGAATATTCTTCAGCCTTAAGAAAGAATGAAGTACTGACAAATGCTTCAACAACACAGATGAGTCTTAAAAACATTATGCTCAGTGAAGGAACTCAGACACAGAAGATTCCATATTGTCTGATCCTATTTATATGCAGCATCCAGAACAGGCAATTCCATACATACTGAAAGTCAACTATTGGTTGCCAGGAGCTGGGAGAAGGGAGTATGGAGAGTGATTGCTAATGGGTAGGCAGTTTCTTCTTGGACTGATGAAAATGTTCTGGAATTACACAGTGGTGATGG